TCTGTTTTTAGAAGTGTAAAGGAATGCCCCCACACCCATATTTAGGTGCTTTTGATCCAATAAGGACATACTGGAATAGCTGTGGCAGAAACAGTATGGCCTACAAAGTATAAAATATTTACTGTCTGTTCCTTACATTAAAAGTTTGCCAAACTTGCATACAGAATTACATTCTCATCACATCTGAATTAGTATAACATTTGGGAGACGAAACTTAACTGAAGAGTCAGTTTTGTAGTTAAATATTAGGCACTAGTGACACAAGACTGGTCTCAATTGGAAGAGTAAAACTAGGAATAAGTGGGAGTGAGTAGGTCTTGTACTCATGAGGAAAACATATGAAATATGTTTTGTTACTATTTGATTGTAAGTACATTTTGTTTTTTTAAAACAGAAAAGTTTAAAAAGTTTTTTAAAACTTTTTGTTTAAAGTACATTTTGTTACTATTTGATTTTAAAGTATTTTATTACATGGTAAAAAAAAAAAGTATGATATGGACATTGAAGATATAACTGAGGTGTAAAAGACCCCACCCATTTACTTGATACACATTCGTAAGTGGAAGTAGCAATATCCCCCTGGCTGGCTACAGGGGTGTAGACAACAGGAAGTGTATCTTTTTTTTTTTTTAAAGTGTGTATCTTAACTGGGATCAAACCTCAGGTAGTTTTGACAAATGATATTTACTATCTTTCCCTTAATTCATTACCCCACCCCATCGCTTGGTAAGGCTGCCATAAAGAAATATGTCTATGTATTCTCCAAACAGATCATCATGATTTTGGATCTATTACATATCATCTTAAGTACTCTGGGGAATTTTGTTAAAATTTTAAAAATTGTAACTATAGGAAGTCCCAATTTTTAAATGTCTCCAGTAGAGACTTAGCGTCACATTTCACCAGGCTGCATGCCAATGGCAGTAAACATGTCGCCATGCTGACCGTCTTCTCCACTTCCTCCACCCACTTGTCCTTCCTCATTTGTAACTGCGTGAGACACTTTCAGTGATTCTGCTCAAATGTCACCTCATCATATGGGCATTGCCAGAAAACAGTTTAAATTAGGGAATCCTGTAAGTCTATCACTGTGCATGAACACACTTTGGATACTTAGCATTATAATATTTTATCCTTATAGACTTACCGAATTCCTTATTCCTGTAACTTTTTTTTAAGATTTTATTTATTTATTTGACAGAGATCTCAAGTAGGCAGAGAGGCAGGCAGAGAGAGAGAGAGGGAAGCAGGCTCCCTGCTGAGCAGAGAGCCCAATGTGGGGCTTGATCCCAGGACCCTGGGATCATGACCTGAGCGGAAGGCAGAGGCTTTAACCCACTGAGCCACCCAGGCACCCATTCCTGTAACTTTCTAACTTAGTGTTCGGAACATTTTGTTATAAAGTCTCATGCTGTAGTTTGTTGATGTTGTGAATTTTACGTGTGTGCTAAATAGCTCTAACTCGTTTTTTTTTTTTAAGGGATTTTTTTTTTTTTGGAAGATTTATTTGGGCGGGGGAAGGGCAGAGAGGAAGAATCTTGAGCAGACTCCCTGGTGAGTGCAGAGCCCGGTGTGGGACTCAATATCGTGACCCTGAGATCATGACCTGAGCTGAAATCAAAAGCCAGATGCTTAACTGAATGAGCCACCCAGGTGACCCTGAAGGGATGTTTTAATAAAGCTTTTCTAAGCTACAAAATTTTAAATTCAAGAACCCCTCTCAAATGCGCCATTCCAGTCTTAATACAAAATATTAATCTTATTTGTCAGGTAGGACAGTTTTTGTGAGTGACAGACCTCGTGGAAAACAGTGGCTGAAACAAGTAGGTGGTTTATCATTCCCAAGTAACAGGAGGCCCAGATTTGTAGTGTTGGATGGGACGGGTACCCTGGACAGTTCTCTGCTCTACCTCTGTTGGCAGCCCTTTCACTGTCCAGCAGGATGGCCACTGTAGGACTAAGGGTGAATGGTAAAGGGCAAAGCCCTTTTCATTATTAGGTTTTGTCTTGCTTACATGGAAATGATAATCCCAGGAAGTTTTTCCAATTAGCTAGAAATTTTAATAATGCAGTTTTATTAAGGATATTAGGGATTTTTCAAATTTCATATTCACACCTAAACAACAGAAGGTAAAAGAAAAAGATGTTAGAGAAAACATTCTGCAGATCAAACTAAAAATACCCCTTATTAAGTGACAAGGTAGTCAAGGATAACTGTGGAAGGAGAGATTTTATCAGCATACTTTGTTCTTCATCCTGAAGTATGTTCTGTGCAACCCATGACCAGCTTGGTAGGTGTTCCAAAGGAGGTTCAAAAATTATTAACCTAGTGTTTCCGAACTTAAAGACTTAATTCCTCTGTTAATTTTATTTATCTGGACCTAAAACTGAAATAATTTGCCAAGTCTCAATACAGAGATTCTGATTCTAATATCTTGGTAGAGAAATGAAAGGACTCATTAAAGGCTTGTAGTAGGGACATATTCTATCACTTCCACATGTATTTTAGTATTAGACTATAACTTAATAGAAATATAATTGTGACATCCTAAGTGTAAAAATACCTTAGGTAATTTATCTAAACAGTATTTCACCATTTTCAACAATCATATTGTGCAGTAGGGTCTGTATGTGCACCAGGAAAAGGAAGGTAGTGTGTTAGCATGAGGCAGATTGTGGTCTTTCCCTACCAAGTCAAGAGTAAACATTCAGTTTTATATTAGAGTCTGACTCCAGTTTTGATGTCTGAAGAATGATACCTATTAAGCCTCACTATATAACCTCTTACTATTCTGCCCACCTGGGCAGGGCAAGCTAATAATAAAGCCTGAGAGCCCCTCCCCTTGGCATTAACTGAAAGTTCACACCATGAGTGCCATCACCCCAGCCCCACATAGTATCCATCCTAACATACCAGTCACCATTCCCTGCATTCTCTAGCCATCTTTAGACAACCTGAGAAGGTCTACCCTGCTCTCCCCAGAAAGCATCATATGTAATAAACATTCTCTTAACACTATTACATGGAGTCCTCATTCATGACATCCAGACATCCTGTTCCAGTGGAGTAAGCACAAGTACAAACTAGCAAAAAATGTTTTAGAGGGTAAATATATGAGATTGCTAGTTATCAAGACTCCCACTGTGTCAATGTTCGTTCTTGAGAGAAACTCAGTGAACACTGATCTTTTCAACTTCCTGAGCAATCCAGCACAAGAGATTATCTTTATCCTTATTTCTGAAATTTTATTTCCTAATACTTTTCATATGCTTACTATTTTTCTATTTCCATTTCATGTAAACATGCAACCCATGGGTCTCATAGCAGCACAAAAGAAAAGCATGTAAACTATAATCATACAGTGTAGGTTTATGAACAGGGAGGCAGGTTTTAGAGGGTGAGTTTGAAATTGTGTAACTTTCAAATTCAAATTATGAATATATATTTCCAAGAATGTAAGTTGTGTGAATCTAACATGGAGAAAAATTATTATGGATGACATTCAACCTAGGGAGCCCAAGGATGTATTACCAATGTTCATTATGAAATGCTCCAATGAGATGGGATGCATTTGGGCTAATAAAAGGCACATTTTGTAACATGATTCATTCATGTTACAAAAAAATGTTTCTATAGTTTCCTTTTTAGATATGAGAATTTATAATATCCTAAATAAAATGGTATCAGACTGCAATTTCAGTGGCCAAATTTGAATCCTTCACAAGCATACTACTCTGGTTCTTTTGATTAAAATGTGCTCTACAACTTTCTCTTCAGTTTCCAAAAATAAGACTAATTTTTACTAATCTATGATATACAACAATTACTACCTTTCATAAGAGGGAGAAATCATCATTCCCCCTCCATTTTTTCTACTACATATGCCATCCCCAATAACCTGTCCTACTCACATGAAAATATTTCTTAATGTTCTGGCCTGCTCTGTTTCATGATCATCCTTTCCTGTAACCATCAACAAAGGCCCTCAATCATACCAACAATCTAGAGAAGAGGCTGTAGTCACAGAAAACATGGCAATTTAGGTTAACAGTTTTATGCTATTCCCTGCCCCCACTAAGCCCTCAAACCTACATTGTACTGTATCTTAAAATTAGTGTCCTAGTTTTTCCAGGTTACATAGGTATGAGTAAACCCCACCTAATGACCCAGGTCCTTTCACCTTACTGATCCCTTGAGACCATTATGGTGGCCCATGAAATGAATGTAATTAAAGTAGAACATCAGTGGATTCCAAACTGCAGGTCATGTCACCAGTAATAATGCAGCCTTGAGAAACCTCAAGTAATTTGAGTAAAAAATTTATAGTGGCTTCTGGCTAGCTCAGTCCTTATAAGAGGACGTGACTCTTGATCTTGGGGTTGTGAGTTTAAATTCCACATTGGGTGTTGAGAATACTTAGAATATTTTTTAAAAATTATAAGCTGAAGATAATTAGTAGCTCTTTCCACGGATATCCTTGTTCTTTTGATACCTATCATCTCATTAGGTTTTAAATAATTTAAATTTTCTGTGGGATTGAACATCTAAGATTGGTTAATCCTCAAAGTAGGCCTACTTCCCCTGTAGTATGAATTTTCTTATTTTAGTCCATTGAGAGAACTGGCTAAACAAATGATCACTTTCATTACATTTGTAATGTTTCTGTCCAGTATGAATTCTTTGGTATTTCCTGAGGTAAAGACCTTGACACATTTGTATGGTTTCCATCTCATATGAATTCTTTCATAACCACAATGTTGTACTTTTATTTTTTTTAATCACTGGAAATTTGTCCCTCTTAAGCCCATTCACTTATTTTATGTGCCCCCCAAAGCTGTACATTTTTTATAAAGCTGATCACACTCATTACATCTGTAAGGTTTCTGTCTATAAGAACAGTTATATTCCACAAGGTATAAACTTTGGATAAGCCTTGCCATACATTACATTTGTGTGCTTTCTTTTAGAGATTTATATTATGATGTCAAGTGAGGTGTAAGCCCCTGGTTACAAGTTTTGCCACATACATTAGTTTCATATGGTTCCTCTCCATGATATGGAATCTCTGATGTTGAATAAGCCTTGAACACTTGCTTAATCATTTTATTTGTAAGGTTTCCTTCTATTTTGAGTTCTTTGATGATCCCCAAAGCTTGAGTTTTGAATAAAACCACTGCCACACATACTAGATTTATAATGTTTCTTTTCACTATGTATTTTCTGATGCCTAGTAAGTTTTGCAAACTGGGTAAAAGCTTTGCCACACTCATTACATTTATAAGGTTTCTCTCCAGTGTGGATTTTCTTATGCTGAGTAAGATGTGAACGCTCCGTGAAGGCTTTGCCACACTCATTACATTTATAAGGTTTCTCTCCAGTATGAGTTCTTTCATGACCCCAAAGATGAGAACGTTTAATAAAAGCCTTATCACATTTGTTACATTTATAAGGTTTTTCTCCTGTATGAATTCTCTGATGTTCCATAAGGCTTGAACTTTGGATAAAAGCCTTGTCACACACATCACATTTGTGTGGTTTCTCTCCAGTGTGTATTTTCTGATGCCTGGTAAGGTTTGCAAATTGGGTAAAAGCTTTGCCACACACATTACATTTGTAAGGTTTCTCTCCAGTATGGATTTTTCTATGTTGAGTAAGATTTGAACGCTCAGCAAAGGCTTTGCCACACTCAATACATTTGTAAGGTTTCTCTCCAGTATGAGTTCTCTCATGGCCCCCTAGGTGTGACCGTCTGATAAAAGCCTTATCACATTTACTACATTTATAAGGTTTTTCTCCTGTATGAATTCTCTGATGTTCTAGAAGGCTAGAACTTTGGATAAAAGTTTTGCCACAAACATCACATTTGTGTGGTTTCTCTCCAGGATGTGTATTCTGATGTCTAATGAGATGTGAGCACTGCTTAAAAGCTTTGCCACACTCCTTACATTTGTAAGGTTTCTCTCCAGTATGGATTTTCTTATGTTGAGTAAGGCTTGAACGTTCAGCAAAGGCCTTGCTGCATTCATTACATTTGTAAGGTTTCTCACCACTATGAATTCTCTCATGACTCCAAAGGTGTGACCGTTGGATAAAAGCCTTACCACATTTATTACATTTGTAAGGTTTCTCTCCAGTATGCATTCTCTGATGATTTGCAAGGTTTGAATTTTGACTACAGACCTTGCCACATATGTCACATTTATATGGTTTCTCTCCTGTATGGATTCTCTGATGTCTAGTGAGGTTTGAACATTGGTTAAAGGCTTTGCCACACTCTTTACATTTGTAAGGTTTCTCTCCAGTATGGATTTTCTTATGTTGAGTAAGATGTGAGCGCTCTGTAAAGGCTTTGCCACACTCGTTACATTTGTAAGGTCTCTGTCCTGAGTGAATTCTCTCATGACTCATGAGGTTTGAGCTTTTGCTAAAAGCCTTCCCACAGTCATTACATTTGTAAGATTTTCCCCTAGTGTATGCTCTTCTGTATTGTGCAGGTAACAAAGGATATTTTAAAATCTTCCTATATTTATTCCAAATGTTTTTGATACTAGAAGGAGTTCTTTGAAGTGGTGAAACAGAGGAACCATTGTTGAAAGATTTCTCAACTTGGTTACATTCATACATTTTTTCCTCCGTCTGAAATCTCTGCAGTTCAGCCAGGTGTGCGTGTAAACATAACCCAGTTCTGTTTTCCAAACGGTCTGTGTACCAGTTTCCAGCAGCACTTGTGTTATTTTCCAGTTTTAACAAATGCCTTACAAATGGCTCACCATGCATGAAATATTGGTATGTATGATTTCCTACAGAAGTACTCTGCTTTGGAGGAAAAGTAATTGAGGATTTATTTAGCTGCTGATCTTTTCTATGAGTGAGATTTTTGTTATGTGTCAAAGGCACTTCTTTGTAATTTCTTGCAGCGCATCTCCACTGACTCTCAAACTCATGCATATTTTCCCAGACTTCCTTGAGATCAAAATCCTTGGTGCCTTGGCTTTCATTGCCCTCCAAGATCACTAAGCGGTATGATTCTCCTTTATTAATTTCCTCTTTTGGTGAGAACTTCCTGATTGCAAATCCAGCAGAAAGGCTTCCTGTCAAAGAGAGTTGGAGGGTAATTATTGTATGCTGAATTACATAATTACATTAAAAAGTACTTATCATGAACATAGGAAGTTTCTCAAGCACAGTCTTCAAGCACTATCATAATATACAAACACTATCGTAATATGTTTTTTTCTTTTTATAAATTTTTCCATATTAATACTTTCTCTGATCTTAAGATAAATTTTCTAAACATACTATTATACACTGTACATATTTTTTGCCCATATACCTGGGTACTTGATACTTCATGATTAGGGAGCTGATCTGTCTACTGGCTATGCTGTAACTGTACATGAGATCACAACTGAGATTTCTGTCTTCCCTAATTCTTAATCTTTATAAAAGTATGTTTATCTGAACCCGGTATTTCGTAATTCAGTGATTCTCAACGTATCTTTCATTTCTCCTCCTGTGCGTTCCTTATGGAATGTAAATTCTTTCTTTAGTTCTTGGGAAAGAATTCTTTAGAATTCCAGAGACTATAATTTTGTGTAACTGGTTACTTAACCTGCTAGATTTATCAGTTGTTTAACTGTAATACAGACTTCTTAAAGTACCTTTTTTCTTTCATCATATCCCCACACATTATGACTAAGCACCAGATCACGCTGCTGTACTGAGCGGGCTGTGCTGTGCATGCACGGAGCTCTTTCCTTACGTAGGTAATGCAGTGTGGGGAGGGGCGGGTCCTGTGGAAACTGAGGTGCTCTGGCCTCATAATTAATATACCAGGAGATACCAGTACAGTTGTTTAGATCAATGAAAAGTCTGAGGAGGATTTGGATTTGGGTTCAGAAAAGCAAGAGTGAAGCACAAGGAGTACCAGGAGAAGTGGGAGTAGTGCTTGTGCTTGCACATCTATGGTAATATGTCCTTTAGAAGGACAGTGTGAACAGCAGAATTTAAACAGAGAAACAATTTTTGGCAGTGTCGCTGTGGTCCATGACAAAGGTCTATGTGCACAGTTGTGGTTAGCAACGTAAGTAGCCAATAACAGGAAAACAGGACAGCAACGGGATGTGTGTCAACAAGGACCAGGTGGGTTAACTGAAATACGTAATTTCAAGAGCTTAAGAAATTTTCTGGGAAACACAAATAAGGAATAAGGAAATATTCACACAAATAAGTAATAAGGAACACAAATAAGTAATAAGGAAACCATGGAATGTAAAAAAACTTCATTTCCTTAAGTAAAATTAGATATTTAAATATCATTAATATACCAGGATGTACATGATGAATCTAAACAAGAATATTAGAATAAAGTATTTGTAGCAAAAAAAAGTAATGAAAATAAAATTTAAAGTTATTTTCAGAAAACTACGTGTATATATAGCGAAAAAAATAATGTATCTTATACAAAAAAGCTAAGGTAAGTCAATCGAATGGTATTTCTGGGACTAAAGCAGTAACTTAAAAGTATGTTCACAAGATATCAAAAATTCTCAGTTTAAAGAATGTCATATATTTAACTAAGGAAAATGTGTGTTAAAATAATGAGATACATGGGGCGTTTGAGTGGCTCAGTGGGTGAAAGCCTCTGCCTTTGGCTCAGGTCATGATTCCAAGGTCCTGGGATCGAGCCCTGCATCAGGCTCTCTGCTTGGCAGGGAGCCTGTGTCCCCCCTCCCTCTGCCTGGCTCTCTGCCTACTTGTGATCTCTCTTTCTGTCAAATAAATAAATAAAATCTTAAAAAAAAAAATACTGAGATACCACTACACAATTACGAATGGCCAAAATCCAGAACACTGTAACACCTAATATACCACTGAGGATGTGGAACAGGAACTCTAGGTCACTGCTGGTGGGAATACAAAATGGTATCCCCTCTGGAAGACAGCCTGCAGTTTCTTACAGAATTAAATATACTCTTAAATAGGATCCAGCAGTCAAACTCCTTGGTATTTACACAGCTAAGTTGAAAATTTATGTCCACGTAAAAACCTGGGACACAAAATAGAAAAATCCTACAATCTGTATGGAACCACAAAAGATCCCAAATGGTGAAAGCATCTTGAGAAGGAAGAACGAAGTTAGAGGCATCATGTTCCCTGATTTTACATTCCTTCATTACAAAGCTGTGGTAATATAAACAGTATGGTATTAGCATAAAAACAGACACAGAGATCAACAGAAGAGAACCCAGAAATAAACCCACACATGGTCAATTAATTTACAACAAATGAGACGTGAATATACAACGGGGAAAGGACAGTCTCTTCAATAAACAGTATTGGGAAAACTGGACAGCCACATGCAAAAGAATGGAACTGGGCCACTATCTGATACCATACACAAAAACTAACCCAAAAGAGATTAAAGACTTGAACCTAACACCTGAATCCATAAAACTCCTAGAAGAAAAGATAGAGGGTAATAAGCTCCTTGACACAGGTCTGGGCAATGATTTTTTTTTTCACCCTTGATACTAAAAATCAACAAAAGCAAAAATAAGTGGGACTTGCATCAAACTAGAAAATTTCTGCACAGGCAAGGAAACCATCAAAAAAATGAAAAGGTAACCTACTGAATGGGAGAAAATATTAGCAAATCATTTGTCTTATTAGGGGCTAATCCAAAATAACAGCAGAAAGCCCCCAAATAACCCAATTTTAAAAATAAGCAAAAGATCTGAATAGATATTTTCCAACAAATACATCCAGATGGCCCACAGGACCAAGAGAAGCAGCTCAAGATCACTCATCATCAGGGAAATGCAAATCAGAGCCACAGTGAGATACCATGTTACGCTCGTCAGAATGGCAGGTATCAAAAAGACAAGAAATAACCAGTGTTGGTGAGGGGATGGAGAATTTGTGCACTGTTGGTGGGAGTCTAAATTGGTGTAGCCAGTATGGAAAACAGTATGGTTGTTCCTAAAAAAATAAAAAATAGCATTACTGTATGATCCACCAATTCCTCTTATTTATCTGAAGAAAACAAAACACGAATTCAAAAAGATACATGCATTCCAATGTTCGCTGCAGTGCTGTACACAATATCCGTGACATGGAAACAATCTGAGTGTCCACTGATGGGTGAATGCGTAAATACAGTGTTATCCAGTCTAAAAAAAAAGAACAGAATCTTGCCATTTGTGATAACATGGATGGACCTTGAGGACATTACGCTAAGTGGAATAAGTCAGCCAAAAAGACCAGTATCTTCTATGGTCTGTCTTATATGTGGACTCTTAAACAACAACAACCCTCTGAGATACAGAGTGAGATACAGAGTATACTGACGGTGGCCAGAGGCAGGAGGCTGACAGGATAGTAGCAGAAATGGGTGAAGGGGATTAAAAGGTTTAGGAGAAAAAAAGAAAAAAGATGAGCACCTGGCTGGCTCAGCTGGCAGAGTATGAGACTCTTTATCTTAGGGTTGTTGAGTTTGAGCCCCACGGTGGGTGTAGCAAACACTTAAATACAAAAATTAAAAATCGGGGCGCCTGGTGGCTTAGTGGGTTAAAGCCTCTGTCTTCGGCTCAGGTCATGATCTCAGGGTCCTGGGATCGAGCCCTGCATCGGGCTCTCTGCTCAGCGGAGAGCCTGCTTCCTCCTCTCTCTCTGCCTGTCTCTATGCCTACCTGTGATCTCCGTCTGTCAAATAAATAAATAAAATCTTAACAACAACAAAAAAGACTTGCTGCTGGGATGCCTGAGTGGCTCGGTATGTTGTGTCTGACTCTTGGTTTCGGTTCAGGTCATGACCTTAGGGTTGTGAGATTAAGCCCCCTGTCAGGCTCTGTGCCGAGTGTAAAGTCTGCTTAAGATTCTCTTCCCTTCCCTCCCTCCCCCACCACTCCCGCCAGCACACACATGCTCGCTCCCTCTCTTTCAAAAAGAACAAAACAAAACCAAAAACAAAGCAAAACAAACTGCTGCTGCACTTTGAGTTTTTAAACGAAAAACAAAAAGATATCAATATGGTGCTTTCCATATATCCGGAATGCAGTAAACATCTGAGCAATGATACAGGTTTTTCCTACAGAAAGGCTAACTAGAAATCTCAGTAAGCTGTACTGTATCTAAACCACATCTAATTTTAGATTTTCACTTTTTGGAATTATCCACATCGTGACTTCCAACTAATGATTGCAAAGGGGCCGGACCCTAAAAAGCCAGGATGGCCTGGGAAAGAGAGAGATTTTAGCTATACTTTATTAGACAGACAATACTAGGAAAAGGATCAACTAAGACACCATCATCTTCTCAGAGGGTTAATGGGAGGTGGCTTCCTTGTAGAATGAAGTGACTCTGTGTCCTCTAGACCAACATTGTCAGTAGTGAAACATTTCTGTCTTGATCAGAATAGGTAATATAATCTTATATATTGAAATTTACTTTTGTAAACAGGAAGAGAAATGTTGAAATGGGAAAAATGTGGCCAGTAAAGAGCAGCAGTGGCCGGGGGGAGGGGGGGCAAGGGGAGCATTGTGGGTGTTGTGACCCACATGCATATTGTGTGAACACCGCTCTCAGAGGCTACAGGTGGAAATGACCTGAGTTGAAACAAAAGTGCTCCCAAATATGCCTGAGTGCCTTTTATCCTGGCAAGTTAAGATTTGAGAAATTTTTAGCATATAACCTCAAGTCCTCCCAGTCATGAAAATCCATTTTCAGATTGTTATTGTAGACACTATAGGAAACTAGTTTACAAACAAAATCTCAATAAAGATTATCCTCTCCTTCAGCCTTTAAAACTCAGCCTTCAACGAAGTCAAAAGAGAACCCTCAGAATGGGAGAAAATATTTGCCAATCATGTATCTGATAAGGTACTTGCATCGAGAATATATAAAGAACTCTTTAGACTCAACAACAAAAAGACAATCCAATTTTAAAATGGACAAAGAATCTGAACAGACATTTCAAAAACCATAGAAAGATGGCCAATAAGCACACAAAAAGATGTCTTAGTCATTAGGGAAATGCAAATCAAAACCGGGGTAAGATACAACTCCACATCCCTAGGATGGCTATAATCAAGGAAACAGATTACAAGTGTTGGTAAGGATGTGGAGAACCTGGAATGTTCATACATCCCTGGTGGGAATGTAAGATGGGGCAACTGCTTTGGAAAATAGTCTGGTGGCTCTCCAAAAGATTAAAGAAAAATACTGTATGGCCCAGCAGTTCCACTCCCAGCTATATGCTTAAGAGAAATGAAAACTGTATGTCCCCATAAAAACTTGTGCAAAACTGTTTACAGCAGCATTACTCATAACAGCCATAAGGCAGAAACAACGCAAATGGCCAGCGACGCACGGACGGATAAACAAGATGTGGGATTCGTGCATGGAATATTACGTGGCGACAAAAAGGAATGAAGTTCTACAAAAACCAAAAAGGGCTATAAAAGTCAAACAACACACCCAAAACCCCTGCGTAGGAATGTTCATAGCAGCTTTATCTGTAATTGCCCAAACCTGAAAGCCACCAAGGTGCCTCTCAGTAGACGAATGGAGAAATAACCTGTGGCCCATTCAGACAACGGAAATACTATTCAGCGATAAAAAGAAAGGAGCTGTCAAGCCAGGAAAAGACATGGAGGAAACGTAAACGCACGACAATCTGAAAAGGCTATATATCCCGTTTGATTCCAACTTAATGACATGCTGGGAAAGGCAAAACTATGGATACAGTGAAGAGATCCATGTTTGCAGGCGCCAAGAGGGAGGGTGAGAGGACTCTCTTATTGCTGGCTCAAAGGAGATGATCATATTATGTCTGATCTACACTGTCACCACCCTCGGGAAGCACTGTTAAACTGCACAAAAGCTAGGACAACTAGAGGCCCAGATCACTCAGGATCTCCTGATACCTTCCATCTCGGTGTCCTGGGACATGCTGACATTCTACCTGGTGGCTTCAAGAAGCACTTCTTTATGCAGCAGGAGGACACCACAGCACACTAATCTATGTTCCTCTTCAAGAATTTTGTTACCTGGTAAACTCCTCCATGGCGGAGTCCACTGTGAAGCTGTTACCTAAAGGTGGGTTATCACAGCAGGAAAAGAGGATGAAGCTTTAGGCCCTTGGAATTATTTTTCAAAAGCAAGTTTCAGAGGCAAAATCTTAGAGGAGAAGAGGGAGAAAAATACAATATATGGGAGTAAAATAAGAGGGTCAAATTTTGTGGGGTTCCTGAAAGGGGCTGTGTGCTCTATCCAGACTGCAGGGTGAATGTCCGAGCCACGGGCTATACCCCCACGTGGCAGTGGGGATCAGAGAGGACCTCAGTATCGCGTCTTTATATACTGCTGGGCCACCATCTCAGCAAGACCCTCCCCATTTCTTTTTAAACATGAATGGCAAAATGAGGACTGAAGAAATGGGTGAGGGGCATGAACAGGCAGAGAGGGCTTGACGCAGCTCCACGAAGTCTCATGGAGCCCCAGATACAACGGAAAGGCAGCCACTCTGTTTGTCGGCTGAGATGTTCTCCCAAGGATATAAAATTGTTAATGGAAATTGAATAGGCTTTAGGGTCAGCACTACGGAGGCCTCAGCTCTGATCTGTATGGATTGAGAACCAAGAGAAATCAAGGGGAAAGACTCCTCAGGGACAGCCATCTTGGTCCCTCTCAAACAATGGCACCAATATGGTCAGAGGGGCCAGGGCCGAGTGTTACAGGTCATGACAATGGGAGTGCAGAGGATTTCCTTTGAGAGTTCATAAGAAATAAACTTTTATTTTCCCATAGATCTTCCCCAAACAGTATTTAACGGAGCAGCTTACTCCGCCCATCTGAGCTCTTACATGTGTTCCCATCCTAATACATTCCCACATGTCTGCATTTCCCGTTTGAACTTCACTTTCCACAGTCCATGGCTCTTCCCCCTGTTCCAAAATGGATATATTCAGCTCAAGAGACTTCAAATTATAAAGAAAAAAGAACCTGATATGCTTTGCTCTTCCAGAACATATTCCTGGCTCTTCGTTCAGTGGAGAACAGAGGGTGTTCATTAGACGTGGGTGTAGAAAGTATTTAAAAAACTAGTCAACGGACTGCCTTCTCCTGAATGCTTCGGGGTTATTTTACATGTGCAGGTATCTAGCTCTCTTCCAAGAACTACTGAATCAAAAGCACGAGAGTAAGACCACAGAATCGGGTATGTTTTAAAAATTCACTGTAAGGTTTTCTGAAAACTAATGTCCTGCAACTACCTAATGAAGCACGAACGCGGAACTTCTGAAGAGAAGGGACAGTAGAGTCCGCTTGACATTACGAAGCCTTTCCATTCTCTATCAAAACAGCTTTCGTCACTCCGTTAAGAACAGGGATTGAAACTCATACAGTCAAGTCAGGGCCTCTCAAGAAAAAATGCAAAGACATACAAAATGAACTACCAACTTCTGGAGGGAAACTCTCCTCACCCAGGGAGACCAGGTTCCGGTAGTTCTCCACCATCACGTCCCTGTACAAGGCCCTCTGGGCAGGGTCCAGGCACTCCCACTCCTCCCTAGAGAATTCGATGGCCACATCCCTGAAGGTCAGGTGTCTCTGAAATGAAAACACATCTCACCAAGCGGACAGGCAGAGTGTTCTGATTCTGACACAAAGTAAAAGCAGCACAGATGTATAAAGGTGACATGACTGGGGTGAGTATTCCGACCGATCTGTGTAAGATAATTCTGAGCAAGTTATAGTTCTCTGATTTTCTTAAATGAAACAACATAAAATTAGCTGTTTTAAAGTACCATTTGGTGGCATTTAGTATATTCATAGTGTTGAACAAACATCACCTCAGTTGAGATCAAAAATATTTTTATCGTTCCCAATGGAAACCCTTTACCCATTACGCAGGTGCTTCCTATTGGCCCTTTCTTCTCCAGTCGCTGGCAACCATTAATGCTTTGTCTCTATGGATTTACCTAGTTTGGGTTTTTCATATTTGTAAATGGAATGGTATAAAGTGTGACTTTTCTGCATCTGGCTTCTTTCACTTGGAATAATGTTCAGGTTTGTGCATAATGTTGTACGTATCAGTACATCGCTTTTTTATGGCTGAATACGATTCCATCATAGGACTAGACTATATTCACTGTCTACTGATGGGCCTTTGGTCATCACCTTTGGCTAATGTTAATATAATGTTGCTGTGAACTTTCAAGTACAAGTAGGTGTCTGGATACCTGTTTTCGGTTCTTTTGGTTATATACCTAGGAATGGAATTCCTGGGTCGCATGGTTTAATTTTTCAAGAATCTGCCTTGCTGTTTCCAACAGCAACTTCTACATTTTAACAGAATGTGTCATGATTCTAATTTCTCCACATTTTTACCGACATTTTTGTGTTACTGTACTCATCTTAGTGGGTGTGAAATGGTATCTCATTGTGGTTTTGACTCTGCATTTCACTAATGACTGATTTCACTGAACCTCTCTTCAGTGGCCTGTTTCAGCTGTTTATCCGCTATGGAGAAGTGTCTGTTAAAATCCTCTGACCTTTCTTATATTGGGTTCTTTTTATTTGGGTTGTTGAGTTGTAGAAGTTCTTCATATATTCTAGGTTCTAGACGCTTACGAGATACATGATTTGCGAATTATTTCCTCTCATTTGGTAGGTTATGTTTCACATATGAGATCATGTCCTTTAATGCACAAACATTAATTTTGATGATGACCAATTTATCCTTCTCTCTTTTGTTTTTGGTATCATGTATTAGATCCACTGCCAACCCCAAGGTCATGAAGTTTCACCTCTGTTTTCATCCAGGAGTTTTAAAGTTTTAGCTCTTACAGAGTCTTTGATTAATTCTAAAATTATTTATATGGTACAAGGTAGTTTCACTTTATTCTTTCTCACATGGATATCCAGCTGTGCCAGCACCACTTAATATTCTTTTTCCACTGAGTGTTTTTGGCACCCCTGTAAAAAAAGGAATTGACTACAGATGTATGGGTTTATTTGCAGATGCTCAGTTCTGTCACTTTGATCCATATTTCTAGCCTCTGCTGGAGTTACACTTTCGATTACTCAAGATTTGTAGAATGGGGGCGCCTGGGTGGCTCAGTGGGTTAAGCCTCTGCCTTCAGCTCAGGTCATGATCTCAGGGTCCTGGGATGGAGCCCCTCATCGTGCTCTCTGCTTAGCAGGGAGTCTGCTTCTCCACCCCACCGCCCCCCACCTGCCTCTCTGCCTACTTGTGATCTTGCTATCAAATAAATAAATAAAAACTTAAAAAAAAAAAAAGACGACTTCTTAAAAATAAAAGATTTGTAGTATGGTTTGATGTTGGGAATTCTAGGTCTTCCAACTTTGTTCTCATGTTAATTTTGGTTATTTGGGGTCCTTTCCAAATCGACTGAGTTTTAGAATCAGGTTTCAGATTTGTGCTTTTAAAAAAGGCTGTTGAGATTTTGCTGGGTATTGCATTACTCTTTATCTAACTTTGGGGAGGACTGCCATTTTAATGTCTTCTAATCCACAAACACAGGCTATCTTGACATTTATTTAGGTTTTAATTTTTAACTGCATCTTTGTAGTTTTCATTGTGTATAAATCTTCCATTTCCTTGGTTAAACTTATTCCCATTCGTTTTGATGCTCTTGTAAATAGAACTGTTTACTTACTTTCAATTTGCTGATTGCCAGTATACAGAAATACAACTGAATTGTGAGTGTTGATATTGTGTTCTGTAACTTCAATTTATTATCTCTAACTGTTCTTTATTTCTAAATATATGATCATGTATTCTGTGAATAGACGTAGGTTGAATTCTTTTCCAATTTTGACACATTTTTCCCCTCTTTTTTCTCTGGGTAGAACTTCAGTACAATGTTAAAGTGTGGTGACAAAATGGGGCACCCTTATTTGTTCTTGGTATTAGGGTGTAAGTTTTCAGTCTTTCACCAGTGAGTATAATGTTAGCTGCGGAATTTTAGTATTTAGTAATACCTTTTTTTCAGACTGAGCAAGTTCCCTTCTATTCCTAATTTTTTAGTGCATTGTTTTTGTTGGAGTGTTCTGTAGACGTCTTCTAAGTCTAGTTGGTCAATCCTTTATTTCCTTACTGATATTATGTTTGATTGTTCTAGCCATTATTACAAGGGGAGTATTGTGGTCTCCAACTATTTTGCTCAATTTTTGCTTCAAAAAAGCAAAGGCTTTGTTGTTGTACATATTGTTCACAGTTGTTTTATCTTCTTGATGGATTGACCCTTCTTTCAAAATGTAATGTCCTTCAACTTCTCTGGTAACAAACAACTTCGTCTACTTGATCTATTTGTATCGCTACCCCCTAGCTTTCATCACTATTTGCATGGAGTATCTTTTCCATCCTTTCACTTTCCATCTATTTGTGTATCTGAAGTGAGCCTTTTGTAGATACAGAGTGAAATTATTATTTTTTTCAAAGATTTTATTTGACAGAGAGGGAGCACAAGTAGGCAGAGAGGCAGGCAAAGAGAGGGGAAGGGAAGCAGGCTCCCCATTGAGCAGACAGCCCAATGTGGGGCTTGATCCCAAGACTCTGGGATCATGACCTGAGCTGAAGGCAGCGGCTTTAACCCACTGAGTCACCCAGGTGCCCCTAGAGTGAAATTATTTTTTAAAAATTAACTCCTTTGTCTTTTATTGAAGAGTTTAATCAATTTAATCAGTTTACACTGTGTCTGTGCATACATACTATTTTTTTTTTTTAAAGATTTTATTTGATAAAGACAAGAGAGAGACAGTGAGAGAAGGAACACAAGCAGGGGGAGTAGGAGGAGGAGGAGCAGGCCTCCCGCCGAGCAGGGAGCCCGATGCAGGGCTCGATCCCAGGACCCTGAGATGACCTGAGCCAAAGGCAGATGCCTAACGACTGAGCCACCCAGGCACCCCATGTGCACACCATTTTGATTGGTTTTGTTATTTTTCTGCATAGTTTTATTTTCTGAATGGTTACCCTGGGGATTGCACTTTACATATAGAATAACATTTGAATTTCGTTGATATTAACTTAGCTTTAATAGCATATGACAACTGCTCCTATACAGTCTCCCTTTATGTTCTTTTTTTAAATTTATTTTTATTTTTTGAAGATTTTACTTATTTGACAGGAAGATACACAGTGAGAGAGGAAACACAAGCAGGGGGAGTGGGAGAGGGAGAAGCAGGCTTCCCACAGAGTGGGGAGCCTGATGTGGGGCTTGATCTCAGGATCCTGGCAGACGCTTAACAACTGAGCCACTCAGGCACCCAAGTTTACCAATTCTTTATTCTTCTTGTCATTCTGCTACTGAACCCTCTAGTGAATTTTCAGTTTTGGTGATTGTACTTTTTAGCTCCAGAATTTGTATTCTATCCTTTTTTTTTTTTTTTTTTTTTTTTTAAAGACTTTATTTATTTATTTGACAGAGATCACAAGTAGGCAGAGAGGCAGGCAGAGAGAGAGAGAGAGAGGAGGAAGCAGGCTCCCTGCTAAGCAGAGAGCCCGATGTGGGGCTCGATCCCAGGACCCTGGGATCATGACCTGAGCTGAAGGCAGAGGCTTTAACCCACTGAGCCACCCAGGTGCCCCTGTATTCTATCCCTTTACCATAATTTCTGTCCCTTTATTAATATTTTCTATTTGTCAAAACATTGTTCTCCTACTTCTTAGTTCTCTTCCATGGCTTCCTTTAGCTCAGTTAGTTTAAGACAGTTGACTTAAAATCTTTACTTAGTAAGTGGAATGTCTGGCCTCCTCAGGAACACCATCATTACCTGGTTAACCTGGTAATCATGCTTAAGATAGACAATCTGGACATACCCTTAGATTATCTGTAGTCAAGTCAGCCTGCTCAGAAGCAGGCATTCATTGTAACAGTAAGAAATCGTAAAGGACTGATGTATCTTCATTTAGAGGATGGTCCGATGAGGCTCTAAAAAAGCAGTTATCTGTTTACTAACATGAAAACAACTCCAGACATAGGGTTGTAAATATTTAAATTTGCAAAATAAATTATTATAATTAAACATTTACTGAAGAATATTTTCTCAAATCATTATAGTATATAAATTATGGTATATAAATGCATTTTTATAAGGTTTTTATAATAGTTACTAAAGAGAATACTGGGCGCCTGGGTGGCTCAGTGGGTTGTCTGCTCAGTGGGGAGCCTGCTTCCCTTCCCCTCTCTCTGCCTGCCTCTCTGCCTACTTGTGTTCTCTGTCAAATAAATAAAATCTTAAAATAAATAAATAAGTAAATAAAATAAAGAAAATACTGGTTCCTGATGAAGATAATCAGTGATGATGGATGGTATGATGGGAAGGGGATAGTTTCTTAGTTTCTAAACTCCATTATTGTGTAGAACTGAACCACAGCAATACCAGAGAGGTTTAATACAGAAAAAAAACAAAAACAAACAAAAAAACAACATTTAACAATAATTAGTAAAATAAGGGGCGCCTGGGTGGCTCAGTGGGTTAAAGCCTCTGCCTTCGGCTCGGGTCATGGTCTCGGAGTCCTGGGATCGAGCCCCGCATCGGGTTCTCTGCTCAGCAGGGAGCCTGCTTCCTCTTCTCTCTCTGCCTGACTCTGACTTCTTGTGATCTCTGTCTGTCAAATAAATAAATAAAAATCTTAAAAAAAAATTAGTAAAATAAAAATTTAGCCCCAGACTCTCTAATGGCAGAACGTTCTGCTCCTATGTCTTGGCTAAACCATAAACATTTTTTCCTAAAAGATCTGCTGTGTGAGAGTTGCAAAGACCTTGAGCAAAGACCTCATGGTCTTTATGAGATGGGTGTGCAATGAATAATGTAAAGAACACTCACTGTTAGACAAATGGGTTGATTCTACATTTTAAAACTAATTATGTTCATTAAAAAAAAAACACCCTCTGTTCCTTATTTCCTACTTTGAACTTCCCATTCTCTTTCAAAGTATTAATATTTTGGAGTTAGAAATATACTGATTTCCTTGTTTAACGTCCGATGACATTTTTAAAATTAGAAAAAGCAAATATCCCCCATCAGTCTCCTTTTCCAGAGTTTCTCAGGTATTTGTGCACATTAACACATCACTTACATATGTAATCTCTTTAATCTTGATTTATATGAGCTGAAAGGGCATCCAGAAGGGGTCTCTGAGGAATCCTTGATGTCCAACCGCACTGACACCACAGTCCATGCCTGCACAGAAAATCCTTCCCAGGCTGACCACCTAAAAGGAGCCTCTTCCCAAGTTCTATGTCACGGGGTCACAGTGAGGTAGAATCTTCATGGAGATGACAGAAGACTGGGACAAAGTGTGAGTAAACATTTTAGGCAGTAGAAAAACCAACTAAAAATGTATGACTTTTACCTGGGAAAGAGCCATTCCTCCTTTTTTCCCTCTTCTTCTGGGCTTCTTTCTCAGATAAGGTTATTCTGTGTGACAAAAAGTATGTTGTTTAATGCACAGAATCCACATAACCCCTTCCTCTGCTGTAATAAACATACTGGGAGAACCTTCTTGTGGAAGAAAGACAGTCCTTTGCTGCTCACTGCAACAGGAGGGAGGCAGAGACGATAACTCCCATAACAGAGGGCAACAAGTACCTTATTTTACGTATGTCTTCGGAAAGCCCTCCCCTCCTGCTGAAACCCACACATTCTACTGCAACTGCATTGTCCTTTGTCCCTTTGGCACTTGGCCAAAGGAACTGCCTCATTCAAGTTCTTGGATCCTCCCTAGGCAGCCACATCCAATGAATGGTTGATGCAGGATACAGAAGCCTGTGCATTCCATCAAGCTGGACCAACTCTCAATCTTAAGGACCACCCCAGCTCCAGAACTCCTCCCTGGTAGCGGTACTGAAAGTTTAGATTTTTGTCCTGATAGTGATGGAAGCCATAAGAGGGTTTAATATCAAGAGATGACACAATCAAATTTAAGATAGTTATGATACAGAAAGGGGTAGGAGCTGAGAGGCACATGCCTCTGTCTCTGGGACTATGCTCCTGCCTCTTTCTTAGTGGTGTTCATTATTTCTGGAGAACTAGGTCACATTTTAAACTCTAATTATAACTGGGCACGCTCTCTCAGAAACCTCCAGGGACACACACACACAAACACACACACATCCAGTTCTGAAAATCACTTCAGGGATCTTATTAGCTCAGATTCGGAATTCCTGGTCTATCATCTCCATTTCATAGGCGGGTGTATTGAGTCTCAGAGGGGGAACACTTTTACCACGTTGCCCTAAAAAGGTCTGAACCACGGAGCAGTGAGCAGACCTGGGTTTAAGTAATTTCTGAAATGGTAGCCCAGACAAGTTTAAGTAGAAAGGACTTGTCCTAATTGCAGATGGCCTTTCATGTTCCTGAACTAGGTTAGATTCTCTTTAATGGGTTTAATCAAACCCAAGTTAATTTACTTCTGCTTTTCCAGAAAAAATATAATAAAAATATTTGAAATTGAAAATAGTTCCTAGTTCTGAAAAACATGAAGAAGGGTCACCTGTGGAGATGAGCTCTGAGCAAACCTCTGCATCATAAACAGATGGGCTTGGGGCGCCTGGGTGGTTCAGTGGGTTAAACCCTCTGCCTTCGGCTCAGGTCATGATACCAGAGTCCTGGGATCGAGCCCCGCATCAGGCTCTCTGCTCAGCAGGGAGCCTGCTTCCCTTCCTCTCTCTGCCTGCCTCTCTGCCTACCTGTGATCTCTATCAAATAAATAAATAAAATCTTAAAAAAAAGTATAAACAGATGGGCTCTGTTGGAATAAAGTTCCACATCAGTCCAGCCCATCCTCCCAACATTGGCACAGAAAGGGGACTTGAGGGGCACATCCACTTAGTTGGAAAATTCTGCTCAGAGCTCAGTAATTTCATGAGATCACTTAAGGGAAGGGAACTGCTGAACATGAAAATAACTGGCTAAACTAGATGTTGAGTGTTAAAAGATTCTCAACATCCTTAAGGGATGCATAATGAAACAGTTTAAGTTATTTACCAGACATCAAACAATATTCCACTACACAGTAAAGTAGAAAATCATGTAACTCATAATCTGAACAAAAAATTAAGGAAAATAACTTAGAAACTAAAAAGATATGCAGTGGATTCTGAGATTAAAGTTAAAACAGGTGTGAAGATACATCAAATTTAGAAAAGAATGACATGAGCCACAGGAAAAGGGGGGAAAGAGAAACTTTCTGTCAATAACGGCCATTTTGAAAAGCACCACGTGCTTACAGAAAGTCTTCGCCCATTTCCTGGAAGGGAAGAGGATGGCCTGGAACTGCCTGAGCTAGGCCTCTGCACTCTAGTTAACAGGGGCTGCAAATGGAATCCTCTTCTATGCAATTAGGAAGTGCAGATGCCTTCAACACCCGATTTCACAACTCTCATTCTCTTCTGCCTAACTGAAACAATTCAATACATTTTCACTCCAGAGCCACAAATCCGTACTTCACAACTCCATATCCCACATCCAGTCAATTCAACACTCACCTGGGTCTGGGTCCCGTGCTTTGTCCGAGACCACTATGTGTTGTGTTCTCTGTGTATGTCTCTGGCCTCGTTTCTCTTCTCTCCTTTTGTCCATCTGCGTTTCCCTCTCTGCGCATCCTTCGGCTTCCCTCCCTCGCTATGCCAACACTTCGACCCCGCTCTGCCGCCACCTCTGTTTCAATCCCTGCCGCTCTTTCTCCCCAGACGTTCTGGTGGCCCCTAACTCCGCAGACTCCTGCCTCCTCCCCGCCATCTCGGTTGCCCCTCTGCCCTCCCTGGAGCGGAGCGAAGGGCCTGCATCCACTTTCCGAGGGACCACAGTACCGGCGCGGGTGAGGGTGGGCGCAGAGCCGGGAGTCCGGGGAAGGTTCTGAGAGGGAAAGCGACCGGCAGGGCCATCGGTGTCTACAAGAGCCGAAGGCGGCAAGGCTGGGGGCCCGTACCCGCCTCAGAGCGATAACGGAACCGAGCGCACACTCCCGGGTCCCGCACCGAGCGACAGGGCTCGGAACGTCTTGCGGCGACGCCGCGACAAGCGAGAGGGACGAAGGGGGGGTTCAGGGATTTTAACCTTACCAGGCGACCCCCGAAACTGGGTGTGGAGGCGGGGCCCGAGGAGCGCGCCGGCGGCATGAACCAGAAAAACGGACACTCACTCACCCGAGCGCGCCCGTGGCTCCGCGCGATCCGCTTCCGGGTCTGCGGGAAAGCGCGCGTGCGCGTGCGCCACGGGGCGGGGGCGGGGCCTGGGCGCGCGGGGTCCCGCGGTTTTCGCGTCTGTCGGTCCCTCCCTCCCGGCGGTTTCGGGTCCTGCTCTGGGATTCCTCCGAATTCCGCCGGTGTGTTTAGCCGCCCTGCTGGGTTCAGCGTTAGGGCGGGGTGGGCGCTTTGGTCGGAAGCATTGGTGTCCGACAGGTTGAGCGCGGTGCGCGTGCGCACTCTGGCGAGTGGTGGAGACGCGCCTCCTGCGAGGGCGACCGAGCAGCGCGGGGACCCGGGGCTCCTCGTGGGGCGACCGAGCCGACAGTAACAGCTCCTAACTTGATTGAGGAAAAGCCGAGTGCTCAGTGTGGGTGGTGGGAGCTGGAATGAGAAATGCAGGACTGCTCCGTGGGAACGTGCCGCTTCGTACTAACTTCCCAGCGGGGCTCTTCTTTCTCACGGGGCTGTCATTCGTGCTCCGCGGTAGCTGGGCTGCCTTCCGGGGCTTCGGGCCAGACCTTGGGCTGCGGGAGCGGAGGGCTGGCCCGTTCCTTTAAAAGAACCAAAATTCCTGCCTGTATGCATATAAATTAATTTCTCTCTCTTTAAGTTTGATACTGGAGTTCACACCCCTCAAGATAAATTATAAATTCCAACGCCTTTGAGAGCTGTCGGATGGCCTCCTGTATTTTGCTTACGGCATTAGTTACCAAATATCGTTGCAATTTCAGTTTTCTAGAATCTCTATTCAGTTATTTTGGAAGAGTATTTTTAACTCGAAGAGTAGGTATTTTAACCGATTTTTTTTTCTTCTGTTTCTAAATGCTTTCTCTGAAGTGCAGGTAAGGAGGCTTGTAAAAGGTGTATTCTTTCAGAGATACTTAACTTTTCCGAGTACTGGCGAAATACTGGTTTGGAAGTATTTCCAGAGACGTCTGATAAAGATGTCTGTTCTTTATGTGAACAATACAAGCAAATAATAAAATTGGGTTTTCACATGTTCAGTACCATTGTATACACTTAATAACTGAACATGAAGCAGGTAAGTTACTAGTTCCTCTTCCGTTTCCGGTGGAATTCTGAGGGTGCTGTGGGCTGGATCTGCGTCTCTCGCCCTGTTAGTTGACTGCTCACTCACTGCTTACATCTCTGCAAGGAGTTGGTGCTCAAATGACCACACGTCGTTTAAACAATTTATAATAGTTTTTGGCTATTGTAGGTTGTAGGGAGCTGTGTGTTCCTTTTACAGCATGCAGAGAAGATCCTGGACACAGTAAGGTCATGGCTCCAAGAACAAAAGGGCTGATTGTTGAAAAACATGGAGTGATCATAACAGGTGGGCTCAGTAGCCACCAACTGGGATTTTCAGAAAGAGCCAAATAAAGTGAAAAAGTGGAAGAGAGAGCATTTAAAGATAGAAACGTGCTTACCAAGACAAGGATGCTTTGGGTAGCCCTCATGTCAGGGGAAATTCTGGGGAGACATGTTGTTCCTATGAATGTGCTGGACCCACCGCTTATATCTTAAGAGCTTGAAAACTATGGAGATGCTGCCCAGATCCCGAATCCCAGGGAAGGGATTGAAAGTGCAGCAAGTGGTGACTGTGTGATCTTATTCACAATGCCCAGTCATGTTTCTTTGTGATGTTTTCCCCTGTTTATTTGTAGTCACAAGAGGAGGGAAAGTGGCATTTGCTGGGATATTCAGGATCAAGCAGCTGTTTGTTAGAGAGGCACCGGGGAGATTTTAATTTAAGCTCTATCACCTTGGAGTTCCTGGGGCCAGTTGTGATGCTCTGGAACCCACTGAAGAAGCAGATAGTGCTGATGGATCCACCACTGGCCGTTCTGAAACAAAACAAGTTTGCATCAAAACTCAACAAGGATATTTTTCAAGCCCAAAGCTGTCAGGGAGCGATTCCATTAAGGACAATGAGCCAGACATTGGCTACAGGCAGGTGCTTCTCAGAAGCAAGTCTTAGGAAGGAATTCAACCCTGCTTTATTTTTTTACCATATTGACTTCTCTTTTGCTTGACCTTTACCTTGCTATAGGATGTGAAGAATATGACCATTTATTGTCATTTTTAAAAAAGATTTTTTTAAGATTTTATTTATTTATTCGACAGACAGAGACCACAAGTAGGCAGAGAGGCAGGCAGAGAGAGAGGGAAGCAGGCTCCCTGCTGAGCAGAGAGCCTGTTGTGGGGCTCGATCTCCGGACCCTGGGATCATGACCTGAGCTAAAGGCAGAGGCTTTAACCCACTGAGCCACCCAGGCGCCCCAAGATTTTATTTTTTTAAGAAATCTCTGCCCCCAGCATGGGTCTCAAACTAATGACCTGGAGATCAAGAGTTGCATGCTCTTCTGACTGAGCCCGCCGGGCGCGCATTTATTGTCCTTTCCATAGGAATTCCCATTTCCCAGATGCCAAGCGTTAATGATGTTCTTCCCACTGTACTGTTTGCTGGTTACTAACTTTTCTTTTGCACTTTGGCATACTTCTGAATTTTTCACTTCACTGATCTAATAGTCTGTTCGTAAATAAACATATCTCATAAGGCTAGCCATGCTCATTTTGTTTCTTTTCTAGAGTTTTTGTGTGGCTATTTTTTTTTCAAGATTTTATTTATTTGACAGAGAGAGATTACAAGTATGCAGAGAGGCAGGCAGAGAGAGAGGGGGAAGCAGGCTCCCTGCTGAGCAGAGAGCCTGATGCGGGGCTCGATCCTAGGACCCTGAGATCAGGACCTGAGCCGGAGGCAGAGGCTTAACCCACTGAGCCACTCAGGCGCCCCTGTGTGGCTATTTTTATTTGTTTGTTTTTCTATAAGGTTTTTCCAGTAACATCACTAGTTTGAAAAACTGATAGTATCTATACCAGGATCAAACTAAATTTATAAATTAGCATAAGGAAAATTGGCCTTTTTACGATACTGAGTTTTTCTACTCCAGAACATGATGTAAATTTACATTCACTTAGTTCTCCTTTTTATGTATTTCGAGAATGTTTTATAGTTTTCCTCATATAGGCTTTACACATTTTTGTTAGATTTATCCCGGATTAGTGTATTTCACTTAATGTTACGCTTTTGTAATTGCAGGCCCTCCCGTTGTAACTTGTAAATCACTGTTTTATTTTTATACAGTGGCCTAGTACAGGGTTGCCTGGCTGTCTCAGTCAGTGAATGGTGCAACTCTTGATCTCGGGGTTGTGAGCTCGAGCCCCACATTGGTATAGAGATAACTTGAAAATAAAATAGCCTATTTACAGAAAGGCTATTGTTTGTGTGTAACAATATTGTATCCTATTAGGTTACTGAATTATTTCTCGTAATTGGTTTTCTATCAGTTCTTTGTTTGTGTATAACAATATTATATCCTATTAGGTTACTGAATTATTTTTTGTAATTGGTTTTCTATCAGTTCTTTCTATCATCTGCAGGCACAATTGTACATCTTGGTTTCTAATTTCTATGCCATTTCTTGATTTCTCTTCATAAATATGATGAACAATATTAACGAATTTTCTAATAGTGAATCATTTCTGAATTCCAGACATAAATTTTACTTGGTCATCGTGTGTTATTTGTATATTATTTTTCAGGGGTTTTGGCAATATTTATTTTAGATGGTGCCATCTATAGGCAGATGGAGATCTTTCTGTGGTATTCTTTCTGGCACAAACTTTAGGATGTTTTAGTATCCGAATTTTATTTGACAATAGAGATAATTTGGACATTTTACTTCTTCTGTAATGTTTTTGAATTGAGTTAGTAGCATTGGCTTATCTGCTGTGTAAAAGAGTGGAGGACTCTGGGGACACCTGGGTGGTTCAGTTAAGCGTTTGACTCTTGATCTCAGCTCAGGTCTTGATCTCCGGGTTGTGAGTTCAAGCCTCACGTTGGGCCCCACACTGGGCCCCACACTGGGCCCCACACTGGGGATGGAGCCTAGTTTTAAAACAATGGAAGAATCTGCTTGCTAATCTGATTCTGGTGCTTGTTTCATGAGGGACTCCTTATAAATGTCTTCCTTTCCTCCATGGATATTGGGCTGTTTGGACTCCCTGTGTCACTGAAGGCAATTTTGGTAAGATACATTTTCCTAGAAAGTGTCCATTTTATTTTATTTTAAATATTTTATTTATTTTTTGACAGACAGAGATCACAAGTGGGCAGAGAGGCAGGCGGGGGTGGGGGAAGCAGGCTCCCGGCTGAGCAGAGAACCTGACGTGGGGCTCGATCCCAGGACCCTGAGACCATGACCTGAGCCGAAGGCAGAGGCTTAACCACTGAGCCACCCAGGCGCCCAAAAGTGTCCATTTTATATAGGCTTTCTGGCTAGTTTTTTTTAACTTGGAGAAATGGGGCAAATATTTTAAAATCTCAATCATTGACATCATATTCTTTCTTTTGCATTTATTGAAAATTTAAAAAATTTATTGCACTAATTAAAAACCTTAAAAATAGCAAATCCTTCTTGGGTCCTTTGTATGATTCTTTCTTTCTGCCCCTAAGTTAAATGATGGCCGTACTCAGGGATCTGAGGATTAACAAAGAATTAGACTGGGATAAAAGAAATTCTCAGGGAAGCACAGAATCCAATGAGGCACGTGCACTTTTCTGCTGGGCTTTCATGGCTCAGACCTGAGCATTTCCTCCTTCCACGTGAGACCTGTCTGTTTCCAGGAATAATGGAAGAGTCTCTCCCGAACACTCAGACGGTCCCTTTGAATATGCCCATTAGCAACTTCTAATAGATGCTGCTAATTAAAGTTTTTCAGAACTGTTCTCAGTTCCCCAAGTGTGAACTGTCCCTGTCCCTACAGGTGACATGATGATTGCATGTCTTTGGGGAGGTGAGGTCACAGAATCACTAGCCCATATCTCGGGCTCTGGCTGCCTGCCATCCACACATGCTTCGGCCCCTCTTTACACCCGACTCACAGTCCAGGCAGTGGGAAAGAGTTTGTG